TAGAGGAATGATAAATATAGAAGAGTGATAAATTACAATATTCATACTAAATGGGATTCTGTGCATTGGTTGAAAGGCATGGGGATGCTCTCTCTGACAACTGTGGAAATATTTCAAAGATAAATGTTAAATGACAAAAGCAAGGTGTGGAAGTGTGTTCAGTGAGCAACATTTTTTTGTGCATAAGAAAAGGGAAAACCAAAGGTATAAAAACCCAGCTGTTTTTAAGAATAAGCTCAAATATAGTTCTGGTTGTTTCTCTTCATGCTTATTTCTTCATGTAGACTGTCCTTTCTACATCTCTACCTATTGAAAAAAAATTCTTCCAGGACAATTTCAAATATTTCTTCCTTTGTGAACTTTTATTGATTCCTCAATTGAATAAAACTGTAAAATTATTAGAATGGTTTAAGGTTTTGGGTGAGAAATCCTTCCCAAGTAAGACAACCCCCAAAATTTATAAAAGAAAAATATTGTTTTAACATTGTAAGAAATGTAATATTTTATATGGTCAACAACATGCTGTATGGACTTATACACAAAACCTAATGGACCAAGCACCATCTAATGATGACAGAGGCTTATTGTTCAGATTATATAATTAGCTTCCACAAAAACCAACAAAGAGAAAAAGAGAAAAAAGGACAAATGCAGTTAGTTAAAAAAAAAAAAAAGAAAAGCAAATAAAAATGCTCAATTTTAAATAAATATTTTTCTTCCTTTGGTGAGCAAAAATAAAAAAGATTTATACTATGGTGTGGGGAAACAGGCAATGATGAGGTAGGGATATAAATTGTTAAATTCCCTTTATAGGGTAATTTAGCAGGAGTCGTTAAATGTTAACATTATGTATCACCTTCAACCCCAGACTTCTAGTTATCTGTGCTCAGAGATACATGTATGCCCATAGACGCAATTACAAGCATGGTCATAACAACATTTATAATAGGAAAAAACAAAGATCTCTTAAAGGACCACCAACAGAGGAAAGGGTGCATGAACTATGGCAAATTCATTCCATGGACTGCTGTGTAGTAGTTTAAAAAATAAGATAGATTTCAACATATTTGCATGAAAAGAGCTCCAAATCAAAGAGCTCCATTGAAGTACAGTATGTAAAATGGTTCCGTATACATATATATTTCACCTTAATAACAGTAGTTACCTCTAGGAGTAACACTAGGGGTGTGAAGGAGGAACTTGATTTTTGTGTTCTATACATTTCTAAGGTTGGTTTGGTTTGGTTTGATGTTGGAAGGTGTGATGGAAAAGAGCAGTTCACACAGCAAGGAGAAGGGATTTGATCTCTGTTAATTGGTCTCTCAATGTGATGTTTTTCCCACTCTTCCACCAGAATGAAAGAAGAGGCAATTTCTGAGTTAAGAATGATTAAATACAAATACATATGAGACATTTTCCTCTGGTTATGAATAATACAAGTAAATTTTCAGAAACTTCTCTTGTAACTAACTTGAATAGCCAATATTGAGAGGGAGACCCATTTATTTTATGGGCACAGAGAATAGCTGCACCCGCCACGACACAGCACATAGATTATACTTTTAAAATCTTCTCTAATACCTCATAACTCCTAAAAATTTCCCGAATTTTTTTTTCCTTCCTTAGTCTCTCTTAATTTTTCTGCAGCTGACTTAACATTGGAAAGTACTAACCATTGCTGAGTAAAAAAAGACTATTTCTTAACGCTTAAATGACATTTGCCTTAAATTACATTCTAGAATCACTTTAATTTTAAATAATAACACAATATTAGAGGTTCACTTGGTGTGAAATTTACTGACTTTTAGGTCCTTTTATTCTTCGTCCCAACCAATACAGGGCTGTTTTATTTCCTTTAATTTGCTTTAATTCTTATAGCATGGAGGAAGAGTATTATATAGGTCATGGACTATATAGTAGAATGGAAGGTCATGGACCCTGAAACCTGATATGCCTGAGTTTTCATAGATCTGTGATTTGGAGCAAATTGTCAATTACCATCTACTAAAAGTATCTACAAACAATGACCAAGATAGTAGCAACAGGTCACTGATACCCAGATTATGCTCTAATATCATTTCCTACTTAAGAAACCAGGGTTCCTTAGAGAAATGGCTAATTCCAGGTTCTGAGGCCATATATGTACAAGGAGTGCCAGGAACATATTATTATACTACTGCTGAAAGATGGGAAATTAAAATATTAATCTGAATGGTGAATTCAAGTTATATTACTAATGATACAAAAAATTATTAATCAACTATGGAGGATATTAGGGAATGAATTCATTATTTTGAAAATAAGTAAAAAGGAGAGAGAATCATGCATTTATCCTTCCTTTCCTATGTAAACTGTACCTCAGGCTAGCCAAGTAATAGCATGATATTTCTCCTGACAGAGGTCTTTCAGCTGTCAACTGAAGAAAGAATAATAAAATTAGAGTATTATAACTTTCCAACTCTTAATGAAATAATGGATCTAGGGAATGATCATCAATGGCTGCTAAGATTGCAGAAGGAGGTGAACCAGTTTTTATGTGCCTCCCAACAGAAGAACACAGTATCACCCAAGAAGTATCTTAAAAATAAAAAAATCAAACCTGCATCTGCTCAAACCTTTAGATCTAATTATCAATATACAGAAGATTCAGGAGATGGAAGAATGTGTTAAACAACACAACAGAGATGCAATTATCAAAATTCAGACTTTGTGAAACTGCAGAACAAACGTTCCTACTTCTCTATGAGAAGTTGCAAGGAAGAGAAAAAAGAGCCCATAGTTTAAAAGAGACTCAGGACATTAAAAGAGAATCAACTGAAATGTATGGACCTCATTTGGCTCTTGATTTAAACAAACTATAAAGATCATTTGATTGGGGATAATGGGTGCATGGAGGTTTCTTGTATTATTTTCTTTACTTTTATATGTTTGTAAAATGTTAAGTAATAATAATAGCAAAACAACTACCTCCTATTGAATGTTTATTACATACAAGGCACAGTTCTAAGCACTTCACATATTTAAATGGTTATTGAGATGGGTACTCATCTCCACTACACAACTGAGGAAACCAAGACATAGCATCGTTAAACATCTTGCTAGGCATACGGCTAGTAAAGTATGGTGCTAACAAACTGGGGATTCAAAACCAGGCAGTCTGACTTTAGAACTCAATTTCTAACCTGCGTGCTACTACCTCTTACGATGATGGTAGCTTGAACTCGGGTGGTGAGTAGAGAGAAGTGGATTGATCAAGAGATACTTCAGAGGTGAAACTGATTGTCTCCATGCTGAATTGCACATGGCACTAAGGGCCAGGGAGGAGTCTATGGTGATATGTTCACTGAAATAGGAAAAGGGAGAGAGAATATTTAGGTTTGGAGAGTATAGATGACTTGCGTTTGGAGCATGTTGAGTCGGAGGTGCCTTTGGGACATAGGGTTGATGTCAATGTGGTAGCAGGTAATACAGGCACTCTGGCATGTCACTCCCCTCCTCCTCCTTAGAACTGTGTCTGTCTTCTTGAGTTGGGGAAGGGGGACTATTTTTCTAGTTTGTAGTGTCACTTAGTAGTCTATAGACTTGTTTTAGAGCTGTTGGTAGTTGTGCCCAGCTTGATGTCACCTGCACATTTGTGAGGATGCTTTTACTCCATTGTCCAAGAAACTGGGAGGAAACAGGTCTATTTGTCAACCATGCCTAGAGTGCTTACTGTATTATTTTGTTCACTGTATCAGGAACATTATATCATTTCCTCCTCTCTTCCACAGTCACTCACATAGTTATAACGATATTATTCTTCCCAGAACAGAGATGAAGAGAGTGACGATCAAAAAGACTAAGTCACTTGCCCAAAGTTACAGAGCAGTACAGCAGCAGTCAGCATTTCTAGTCTGTGTTCTCCCATTATGTCTCTCTTTTTCAAAGTATGGGCAATGACTTAGGTGGTTCATGGTCATGGCATTTAACTGCAGTGATGCAAAAAGGAAGCTCTTCTGTTGCTATTGTCATCCAACTTTCTGTTATGACATGAACAACTCAGTTGGTGCTAATATGTCTTTAATACCTAACACCTGCTAATCTCCATTTTTAACCTAGAGAGAGTACAGAGTCAGGGACTTGAGCAAGTAACACTATATAGCAGGAATTCAATCACGTTATCTTAATTTCATTATGTTTATTCTTAGGAATACCTTCCTTCAAGTGATATTAGTGTTTCTTTATTTAGCAATTAAGATTTTATTTAAAAAATAAATTTAAGAAAAAGAAATAGAGGTAAAGAAAACTATTACATAATAAAAAGTAATGATGGGTCAGAGAAATGGAAGACAATCATCAGATGACACCAGGCGCCAATGACAGACCTTTGGAAAACAGTGCTCCTCACCATCTTGTCCCCTAGTCACTGGCTTTGGTGCTGGCCTCACCTCTCTTGCAGGAATCAAATGCTTTCTCTTGATCAAGATATGATCTGTTACCATCTTATTTGAAAACTCTTAATCACTGTGCACTGGTGAATGCAGCTCACCAGTGAGCTCGTCACAGATCCCAAGTGCTGTGGGCCAAGTGGTATCTTTATTCTGCATTGATCAGACTGGCATGTAGGATGGGGCCACAGTCTGCAGCTGCCCAGCATATCTCCCAGGCCAGGGTTTCAGGGAAGAGCTAAGAGCAAAGAGTATGTAAGTCATGGTGGTTAACAGCTTAGACAGCAGGCTGCTTTGGAAATCTTGGCATATCCAGGTGACTTTTTTCACTAATATATATTCTAGAATTAAAACTATATTGGATACTCTAATTTCCATCATTCCTCTTTCCTAAGGCTCTAATCCCCCAGTCTTTTATGATGGTACCATGTTTGCATATTTTGTTCATTCTTCACCACCATCCCCCCTTTCCTGGGACAGAAGCTATATTCAGTATGTTTGTGAGAAATGGTTGTAGATGGACTGCTTTTAAAAGATATTTTTATGAGTTCTTCTAAACATAGACAAAGGCAATAAAAATTCCCAACACTACATATATTTTAAAAGACATCATTATCACATGAAATAATTTTTCTTGTGTTCCCCAAGGAACTGAAAAGTACATTATAGTCACTGTAATCCTGCTGGGTAGAGACAGTGTCTTCTCTTTATTCTTTGTTATGCCTGATATCTGTTCTGCATATTAAGAAAAGAAATCTGTATCTAGGATAATGCATCTGTATTTCTCTCATTTCTGTGAGTACCACAAAGCCAGTACTTTCTCACCATTTGGCCTTGCAGAGTAAGGTCCAAGTAGGAGTAGTTTTTTGTTTTAATATATTCTTTAAGGGAAGGTGGTAAATATGTCTTCCTTATCCACAAAGAAAAGGCAGGTTCCGTCTTCCTGGGCTGGGTACCCTCAGCACCATGCCCACCGTGCTCACAGCCCCTGAGAACCTGGTTTCATGGCAGACAGAAGGTAGAAGCCAGATTTGTGCACATCGGAGAAGGCAAATATCCCCTCTGAAAACAGAAACCCAGCCCCTTCTACACAAGCGGGATAAGGGTTAGCAGCGGGAGCTGGGGGTGTGAGGGGTGTGGAATGGTAGTGTTTTCCCCCATCACCGCTGCAGCACGGTCCTTAGGGTCCCCCATCTGCTTGACTCGCTGCCCTGCCCTGGCCATTGTCCGCACACCTCTTCCCTCCAGCTTCCGGGCCGCGGGCAAGATGATTTGCTGCAGATGACATCAGCCCTGGGCCAACGGCTGGGAGAGCGGAGGCAGCCAACGCGTGAGGATGTGCCGGGTGGTCCTTTCCTCCTCCTCTTCCTCCTCCTCCCCGGCTCCCTGCCTAGTCTCCATATAAAAGCAGCACCGCCTCCCCGCCCTCTCTCACTCCCCGCTCCTCTCCGCCCCGCGCTCCAGGAGAGGGCGGAGGGGGAGGTGGCGTGCAGCGCCAGGAGGAGGGGGGACGCAGGGGGCGGAGCGGAGACAGCACCTTCGGAGATAATCCTTTCTCCTGCGGCAGAGGAGAGGAGCTGCCGGAGCCGGACACTTCGCCGAGGCTTAGCTGGCCGGCAGGATGGCGACCGTGGTGGTGGAAGCCACCGAGCCTGAGCCGTCCGGGAGCATCGCCAACCCCGCGGCATCCACCTCGCCTAGCCTGTCGCATCGCTTTCTCGACAGCAAGTTTTACCTGCTGGTCGTGGTCGGCGAGATCGTGACCGAAGAGCACTTACGGCGTGCAATCGGCAACATCGAGCTCGGTAAGAAGCCCTGCGCCCCCAAGGGACGCGCTCGGGGAGACGCGCAAAAGCGGCCCCACCCAGGGCGAGTCGGCCACCCTCCTCTTAAGGCGCGCCCCGCACCCACACGCCTCCTCCGCCACCCCCAGCACTCGGTCCGAACTCTCTTCTGGGCGAATTTCGGAAAGTGATGCAAATTATTAGATTTGAGACCCAGTGGGAGAGTACCTCCTAACCTTGAGGGATCTGTCACCAGACTGCATCTGCAGATCCGGGAAGGCTAACCCCCTCTACCGCTAAATGAAATGTAGGTGTCGAGAAGAGGCTACAATAAAGCCGCAACAGTAGGAAGCAAAAGCGTGGGGGGTACCTGACACAGCCTCTCCGTTCAGCCTCCCTCGCACTCCCACAAAATGCTGGGACCCGGCCCCGCCCTCGCCGGCTGACCAGAGGCTGCAGCACCATGTGCTAGGGCCCGCGTGGGAATTGTCCTCACCACATCCACCTCAGCCCCCAAGAAATGCTTTTTTCTAGCTTAAGACCTCCCGATCTTTTCTCTTCTGGGAATGACTAGGCTAGTCCTAGGGCCACGCCCGCTCCCCCCAACCCCTCGGGACGCAGAGATGGAGAACTGCCTGCGCTTAGTTCCCAGACAGCGCCCGCCTCACTACCGCCCTTGGGACCTTGGTTGCCGCTTTCAGAAAGGACAATGGGACCGAAGTTGTGGGGTGGGGCTTCTTTTTTTTAGTCTCAGCTTCGGGAATGATGGTTTAGCGGGAAAGTGGGGGAAGGCTCGGCGGGTAGGGCCAGCGCCTTACCCGATGCGCGCTCTTGAAGCGCGCTCTGCAGAGGCCAGATAGCGGTTCGCCCGGAACCCAGGGCGGGGTTTTGAGGGTCCGGCGGGCGCAGCCTCGGATGCGCGGACCGACCCGCCCCCCAGCCCCACCCGGGCTGCCGCAGTGCCCCCACCCTCCCGTCGCACCTGCCCCCCGCACTGCGGCGCCCGTTTCGGGCGCGGCCAGCTAGGCGTGCGCTCCGCGGGGACCTCGGGCTTGGGGGTGCAGCGTATCCCAGCTTCTCCTAAAGCCCGGCTTTGTTGCGCTTGAAATCTCCGGGTAGGCAGCTCTGGTCTTTGCCTTTGCCTTACCCTGGGGGTCCTAGATCTCCCTTCGCCCCTGCAGAGGTCGCCGGGTCCCTCTGCAGCCCAGCCTGCGCTCTATTCTCTTGGGGTGGTGCTGAAGCCTTTCTGCCCAGAGACACCGGCCGGTGGGCGTGGTGCAGTCCGCACTGCGGTCTCTACGGCAGCCCGAGGCGGAC